TTCACATGCGAAGCAAGCGCTCTACCTCTGAGCTGCACCCCTGTTATGTCAGGAGCACTTATTTATGCGTTTGATGGTGCTCAACAGATTATTTAACAACAAAATAAATTATTACTCGAAATAAACAAAATCATCTCGTCATTGCAACGTGATACAATTTTTTTGTCAACAAAGAAAGAAACATATTTCTATCATAAAGGAAAGGGCACCGATGTTTTAGTAGATTATCTCGTCGCATTTCATGGTGCCGTAGTATTACAACACAAAAAAGATAGCGCAAAAGTTCAGAGAGCTCTGGAGGTGCCAGGGTTTGAACTCGGAACTTCTCACATGCGAAGCAAGCGCTCTACCTTTGAGCGATACCCCTCTAATGTCAGGAGCAGTAATTTATGCTATTTATGGTGCTCAACAGATTATTTTAACAAAAAAATTAATTATTACTTGAAGAAACAAAATCATCTCGTCATTGCAATGCGATACAATTTTTTGTCAACAAAGAAAGAAACACATTTCTCTCACAAAAGAAAAGGGCAGCAAAGTTTTAGTAGATTTACTCGTCGCATTTCATGGTGCCGTAGTAGTACAACACAAAAAAGATAGCGCAAAAGTTGAGAGAGCTCTGGAGGTGCCAGGGTTTGAACCCGGAACTTCTTACATGTGGAGCAAGCGCTCTACCTCTGAGCGATGCCCCTCTTATGTCAGGAGCACTTATTTATGCTATTGATGGTGCTCAACAGATTATTTTAACAAAAAATTATTTATTACTCGAAGAAACAAAATCATCTCGTCATTGCAACGGAGTACAATTTTTTGTCAACAAAGAAAGAAACATATTTCTATCATAAAAGAAAAGGGCAGCAATGTTTTAGTAGAATCACTCGTCGCATTTCATGGTGCCGTAGTAGTACAACACAAAAAAGATAGCGCAAAAGTTCAAATTGATTGATTTGTGGGGTTTCACGTCCCAAAACCACCATATGATTATGAGAGACGCCGTAGTGGAGGGCTCCGGAAATTTTGACCACCTGGGGTTCTTTAACGTGCACCCAAATCTGAGCACACGGGCCTACAACATTTCCGCCTCCATCGGAAATGCAGCCGCCGCAGCCGGGAAACGAACCCGCGACCTGCGGGTCAGCAGCCGAGTACCTTAGCCACTAGACCACCGCGGAGGGGCCGCAAAAGTTCAGAGAGCTCTGAGGCGCCACGGTTCGAACCAGGGACTTCTCACAAGCGAAGCAAGCGCTCTACCTCTGAGCTGCACCCCTGTTATGTCAGGAGCACTTATTTATGCGTTTGATGGTGCTCAAGAAATTATTTTAACAAAAAATAATTATTACTCGAAATAAACAAAATCATCTCGTCATTGCAACGCGATAAATTTTTTGTCAACAAAGATAGAAACACATTTCTATCATAAAGGAAAGGGCACCGATGTTTTAGTAGATTATCTCGTCGCATTTCATGGTGCCGTAGTAGTACAACACAAAAAAGATAGCGCAAAAGTTCAAATTGATTGATTTGTGGGGTTTCACGTCCCAAAACCACCATATGATTATGAGAGACGCCGTAGTGGAGGGCTCCGGAAATATCGACCACCTGGGGTTCTTTAACGTGCACGAATTACTGAGCACACGGGCCTACAACATTTCCGCCTCCTTCGGAAATGCAGACGCCGCAGCCGGGAAACGAACCCGCGACGTGCGGGTCAGCAGCCGAGTACCTTAGCCACTAGACCACCGCGGAGGGGCCGCAAAAGTTCAGAGAGCTCTGGAGGCGCCACGGTTCGAACCAGAACTTCTCACATGCGAAGCAAGCGCTCTACCTCTGAGCTGCATCCCTGTTATGTAGGGAGCACTTATTTATGCGTTTGATGGTGCTCAACAGATTATTTTAACAACAAAATAAATTATTACTCGAAATGAACAAAATAATCTCGTCATTGCAACGTGATACAATTTTTTTGTCAACAAAGAAAGAAACATATTTCTATCATAAAAGAAAAGGGCAGCAATGTTTTAGTAGAATCACTCGTCGCATTTCAGGCTGCCGTAGTATTACAACACATAAAAAGATAGCGCTAAAGTCGAGAGCACTTTGGAGGTGCCGGGGTTCGAACCCGGGACTTCTCACATGCGAAGCAAGCGCTCTACCTCTGAGCTACACCCCCGTTATGTCAGGAGCACTTATGTATGCTATTGATGGTGCTCAAGAAATTATTTTAACAAAAAATAATTATTACTCGAAATAAACAAAATCATCTCGTCATTGCAACGCGATAAATTTTTTGTCAACAAAGATAGAAACACATTTCTATCATAAAGGAAAGGGCACCGATGTTTTAGTAGATTATCTCGTCGCATTTCATGGTGCCGTAGTAGTACAACACAAAAAAGATAGCGCAAAAGTTCAAATTGATTGATTTGTGGGGTTTCACGTCCCAAAACCACCATATGATTATGAGAGACGCCGTAGTGGAGGGCTCCGGAAATTTCGACCACCTGGGGTTCTTTAACGTGCACCCAAATCTGAGCACACGGGCCTACAACATTTCCGCCTCCATCGGAAATGCAGCCGCCGCAGCCGGGAAACGAACCCGCGACCTGCGGGTCAGCAGCCGAGTACCTTAGCCACTAGACCACCGCGGAGGGGCCGCAAAAGTTCAGAGAGCTCTGGAGGCGCCACGGTTCGAACCAGGGACTTCTCACATGCGAAGCAAGCGCTCTACCTCTGAGCTGCACCCCTGTTATGTCAGGAGCACTTATTTATGCGTTTGATGGTGCTCAACAGATTATTTTAACAACAAAATAAATTATTACTCGAAATAAACAAAATCATCTCGTCATTGCAACGTGATACAATTTTTTTGTCAACAAAGAAAGAAACATATTTCTATCATAAAAGAAAAGGGCAGCAATGTTTTAGTAGAATCACTCGTCGCATTTCAAGGTGCCGTAGTATTACAACACATAAAAAGATAGCGCTAAAGTCGAGAGCACTTTGGAGGTGCCGGGGTTCGAACCCGGGACTTCTCACATGCGAAGCAAGCGCTCTACCTCTGAGCTACACCCCCGTTATGTCAGGAGCACTTATGTATGCTATTGATGGTGCTCAAGAAATTATTTTAACAAAAAATAATTATTACTCGAAATAAACAAAATCATCTCGTCATTGCAACGCGATAAATTTTTTGTCAACAAAGATAGAAACACATTTCTATCATAAAGGAAAGGGCACCGATGTTTTAGTAGATTATCTCGTCGCATTTCATGGTGCCGTAGTAGTACAACACAAAAAAGATAGCGCAAAAGTTCAAATTGATTGATTTGTGGGGTTTCACGTCCCAAAACCACCATATGATTATGAGAGACGCCGTAGTGGAGGGCTCCGGAAATTTCGACCACCTGGGGTTCTTTAACGTGCACCCAAATCTGAGCACACGGGCCTACAACATTTCCGCCTCCATCGGAAATGCAGCCGCCGCAGCCGGGAAACGAACCCGCGACCTGCGGGTCAGCAGCCGAGTACCTTAGCCACTAGACCACCGCGGAGGGGCCGCAAAAGTTCAGAGAGCTCTGGAGGCGCCACGGTTCGAACCAGGGACTTCTCACATGCGAAGCAAGCGCTCTACCTCTGAGCTGCACCCCTGTTATGTCAGGAGCACTTATTTATGCGTTTGATGGTGCTCAACAGATTATTTTAACAACAAAATAAATTATTACTCGAAATAAACAAAATCATCTCGTCATTGCAACGTGATACAATTTTTTTGTCAACAAAGAAAGAAACATATTTCTATCATAAAAGAAAAGGGCAGCAATGTTTTAGTAGAATCACTCGTCGCATTTCAAGGTGCCGTAGTATTACAACACATAAAAAGATAGCGCTAAAGTCGAGAGCACTTTGGAGGTGCCGGGGTTCGAACCCGGGACTTCTCACATGCGAAGCAAGCGCTCTACCTCTGAGCTACACCCCCGTTATGTCAGGAGCACTTATGTATGCTATTGATGGTGCTCAAGAAATTATTTTAACAAAAAAAATAATTATTACTCGAAATAAACAAAATCATCTCGTCATTGCAACGCGATAAATTTTTTGTCAACAAAGATAGAAACACATTTCTATCATAAAGGAAAGGGCACCGATGTTTTAGTAGATTATCTCGTCGCATTTCATGGTGCCGTAGTAGTACAACACAAAAAAGATAGCGCAAAAGTTCAAATTGATTGATTTGTGGGGTTTCACGTCCCAAAACCACCATATGATTATGAGAGACGCCGTAGTGGAGGGCTCCGGAAATTTCGACCACCTGGGGTTCTTTAACGTGCACCCAAATCTGAGCACACGGGCCTACAACATTTCCGCCTCCATCGGAAATGCAGCCGCCGCAGCCGGGAAACGAACCCGCGACCTGCGGGTCAGCAGCCGAGTACCTTAGCCACTAGACCACCGCGGAGGGGCCGCAAAAGTTCAGAGAGCTCTGGAGGCGCCACGGTTCGAACCAGGGACTTCTCACATGCGAAGCAAGCGCTCTACCTCTGAGCTGCACCCCTGTTATGTCAGGAGCACTTATTTATGCGTTTGATGGTGCTCAACAGATTATTTTAACAACAAAATAAATTATTACTCGAAATAAACAAAATCATCTCGTCATTGCAACGTGATACAATTTTTTGTCAACAAAGAAAGAAACATATTTCTATCATAAAAGAAAAGGGCAGCAATGTTTTAGTAGAATCACTCGTCGCATTTCATGGTGCCGTAGTATTACAACACATAAAAAAGATAGCGCTAAAGTCGAGAGCACTTTGGAGGTGCCGGGGTTCGAACCCGGGACTTCTCACATGCGAAGCAAGCGCTCTACCTCTGAGCTACACCCTTTTTTTTCTTTATTGCCTGTTTTCGGCTCACGTAAACAATACACATATTAACAAATAATTACACAACACAATCCAAAACATTGTAAAAACCGTGGCTCAAATGATTTGGCCACGCATCTGTTAAAATGTTTTTATCGTCAATAGTAATTCGATGCGCGGCAACCATTCTGGGATGAATTCCTGCAGCTTTTGTTCATCCACAAAATTTCTTATATACTCTTTGAAGTACTGGGTGGGTGCTCGTGCATCTACATCAAAGTGCATGGCTGCCATCCTGGATTTCCAAATGCTATGAAGAGCCATAAGCATTATCATATCATATGGGGTACCGTCGTCACTTTGTATTTGCAAATAGCGGATGCCATGTGCATCAATGGGGAAATCTTTTTTGATCGTGCGCTGGAGCACGTCCCAAAGAAAGATAGCATCCCAGCAGTCAATGAATACATGCTCAATTGTCTCCTCCTTTCTGCATATTATGCAATGCGTGCCCCAAGGAACGTAAAACCCCTTTGCAGCCATCCAGGTTTTGACGGTCAGCGTACCGGTATGTAATTTAAAAAAGAAATTCTTAGCACCTGGCGATATTTTCATCGCCTTGACGCGCTTTAGTACAGTGTGGCCATGGCATACATTGTAAAGGGACCGATACAAAGGCACTGGTAAAAACACATCACATAGGTCCTTGTACAACTTTCTTCGTCGGACTTGACTCAAGTATTCAAGTGAAAACCGCACTGACAGAAACCTACAAGAAAGTACAACTTCGCGGAGAAAGCCATAAACACCACCAGGTACGCTGCAGGTTGATACAACCATGTTAGGCAAGTGTTGCCCCAGGCGAAGTTGACAGACAGTGCGAAGGAATGGGTTGTCGACGTCTCTAAAGAAACAAAATCGATTGACTACCTGTCTTAAAAACAAATGCGACAAGCCCAGTCCTCCATTTCGCACTCGAAGAAATAAATTGGTCCGACTCGATCTTTCCCAAGACGATTCCCACACAAAGACAGCGAACACACGGTGAAATTTTTGGATGTTTACCCTTGAACAATGTAAGACTTGTAAGATATACCAAATTTTACTCACTAAGAATATGTTGCAAATTGTGGCTTTAGAAAACATAGACCAATTCCAGCCATTCCACTTGTTCACTCTTTCCCGCAGGTTATCCACTTGGCTCCTCCAGTACGAGTCGCTGTCTTTGTAGCATTCGAGGGGGGCACCCAAGTATTTCACCGGTGTCGTAACAAACCTTATGCTGGCAAAACTGTCTGGGGTTTCTGCCCAGTCACCGTGCCAAAAGCCAAGGCATTTTCCCCAGTTTACAGCGCTGCCACTTGCAGCACAGAAGTTAGTAACGCATTTGACAGCATCTGCTATGCTGTCAGAGTCCGCGCAAAAAATGGCAATATCGTCCGCATAAGCCAACAGTCGGACTTCAACCTCGTGCAGCTTAAACCCACGGACACAGTCATTCTCTATGACACTCAAACAAAAGGACTCTATGTACAAACAAAACAATAGTGGTGAGAGAGGACAACCCTGACGGACCGAACGCTTGACTGGGATGCGCTTCCCCACCACCTTGTTAACGATTAGCCGCGTTGAGCAGTCTCGGTACGCCATGACAACCCCCTCTTTGATTATTTTCCCTAAATTCACATAATCTAGGATGCACAGCAGAATTTCATGAGGCACCCTGTCAAAAGCCTTCTCGAGGTCGATTTGCAGCATTGCGACTCGCGCACCAATAGCGTCGCAACATTCGAGGATGCTCCGGGCTGCGTGTATATTCGTGAGGATAGTTCGACCTTTAATGCCGCACGTCTGATGCGGCCCCACGAGCTCCGTAATGACTGTTTGCAACCTTTTAGCTAGGATTTTCATGAATATCTTGTAATCTCCATTAGTGAGGCAGATTGGGCGGTAAGAATTTACTTTGCGCAGTGCAACGGGGTCTTCCGATTTTGGTATAAGAACAGTGTGAGATGATGAAAAGGACGGGGGTAATATTTTCAGCTCGAATGCCTCATTATAAACGTCGGCTAAGACTGGTGTTATTTCAAACTTGAAACACTTATAAAAGGCGGAAGTCAGACCATCAGGGCCAGGCGATTTCCCGGGATGCATACTTTCAATAGCACTGTTAACTTCCTCTTCCGAAATGGGTTCCTCCAATATTTCTTTTGTATTATTGTCAAGCTTTGGCATCAGCGGTAAAAAATCTTTTTTAAAGCGATCGACATCAACTGAGCTGGCGGCGAATAAACCATTGAAGTGCTCAAAGAAAGCACGCTCGATAACATCTGCGACATCGCTGACTTCACCCTTGTGTTCAATTTCTGTTATCTGATTACGACGCGCATGCCACTTTTCTGAGCCCAACGCCCTTTTTGACGGTGCTTCTGCCGTTATCAGTCGCTCGGCTCTTGCCCGAACCATAGCACCGCGGTATCTTTCGACATCGAACCGCTCAATTTTACTTTTCAACGCGCGAATATCTTCAAGAAACATGCCGGGCATTCTACATTCTTCGAGGAGCAATTTTTCCAGGTTTCTGCGCATGAGCTTTTCTTCTGCTCCTTTTTCTCTGCTTATAGCGCTCGAGCGTTCCAAAGCCTTTAATTTAACGACCTGCTTGAAGTTCTCCCATTTTTCTCTAAACGTCTTTTTACTGCGAACTTTCATTTTTTCAACTTCCGTCATTACTTCCTCCATAAATTTTTCATCACTCAGCAGATTCGAATTCAATTTCCATAGTTGCCACTCGAAGGCCCTTTTCGTTTCTTTCGTGCTAGCTACTACAAAGCTAACCAAGCAGTGGTCACTAAATGAAACGGCGTTAACACGGTATGCCTTGCAAAGCGGTACCAATTCTACACTCACGTACGCCCTATCTAGTCGGGCATGGCTGGCTGCCTGAAAGTGGGTGTACTGCATAGTCCGGCCACCACCGAGACATTCAGCCACATCCTCCAAACCATGTTCTCTTACTAGTATCGCTTAAGACAGCGGTACTTGCATCCCTGTAATGTCGTTCGCTAGTTTTGTCTTTGGCTGAAAGGACGCAGTTGAAATCGCCAATAATGATTAGGAGCCTATTACATTTGGTATACTGCTTTAGTTGTTCGAAAAATATGCGTCTTTCGTCAGTGACAGTCGGTGCGTACAAGCATATTACGCGCCATTCCAATCCCGAAAACAAAAGATCACAAACAATGAGCCGACCAGACGGACATGACGTTGAGGCTTCTACTTTAGCACCCAGACTCTGTCTGACGAACAAAACGCAACCAGAAGAAGTCCCTATGGCATGGCTAACTATAACAGAATACCGCGGCAAGAATTGGCGCACCATGCCCCCAGTTTCATCGTCGCCATGGACTTTAGTCTCTTGGACTGCCAGTATGTCAAGGTCGAGGTCACTTACTAGCCGATAAAGCTGACATTGTTTTCTCCGTGAGGCCAGGCCACGCACATTTAAAGTGGCCACACGGATTGAATTTTCTATTTGCACCATTGTAAGGCTACGAAAAACCCAGGGGCATGGCGCTTACCTTACAACTGCAATTCCTTCCTGAACGCCTTGTCCCAGTACAGTCCTTAAGTTGGCGAAGGCGGCGTTTCCGCCGTCTTGCGCTCCGACGAAATGTTTGGCCGTGGCCGGATGAGAGGCCGCCGAGCGGGAGTCGTTTTGGCGGGTGGTTCGTCCGGCGAGGCAGCAGTGGTGCCCTTGTCTTTTTTCCCTTCGTCACGGGGACGCTTCCCCGTCACAGTGCCACTGTCGCTTTCAATCCCAGTCATCGGTTCAGCCTCGGAGGGGGTCTCGTCTGCTAAGCCAAGACACGTGTCGCCGGTGCTGCTTGCATCCACCTTTTCACTGCTTTCTCCTACGCCTTCGTATGGAAGCCCGGCGTCGGGCTTAGCTGGTGCTTCACACACGCCCTCTTCTTGACGGCATGACGACCCATCTTCCACAGCAGAGTTTGGGTTAACTCCTGCTGTTTCTTCCGAGTCTGCTTCGTCCATGAGGTGCTCCAGTGCATCACTTTCCTGCGCTGGTCCGGTCACACTGGCATATGTCTTCGCGCAGTCGTCGTCTTCGTGGCCGAAGCGGCGACAACGACTGCAGCGGGGTACTCGGCAGTCGCGACGTATGTGACCGGTACTCTTGCACCAGTAGGCACAACGGTGCACGGCCTGGAACGACAACGAGAGTCAGCTCTCCGGCAATCTTGAGCTGGTGCGGAATGTCATCCACCTTGACGTCGGAGTGCAGCTTTAGTCCCACAGACCGCGTCGTTGAGCCCTTTTCTGTGATGCCCGGTGCTCGCCACTTCTCCCGTTTCACTTCGAATACTTTCCCATAGGGAGTCAAGGCAACACGCACGTCTTCGTCGGTCACGCCGTGCAGCAACCAGTGAAGCTTCAAGCGAACCTCGCGGTTATTTGGGTCAATGAGCAAACATGGGCGATCCTTTACCTTCACATCGATGGCGGAGAGCAACTTCCGAGCAGCCTCAGCACTCGTCAGTGTCACAGCCCATACGTGGTTCATTTGATACGCCCCCAACGCCAAAACGTCGTCGAGCGCACCAAGCTTGGCCAAAGTGTCCCGGTAATCTTCGACGCGGTAAGGCCGGGCTCTCGGATCACCATGCATGAAAACGGTATTCGCAGCGATGCGTCCGGAAGGCAGATTGGGCAAAATCACCTGATAATCGTCGGCGCTAGGCACAAAAACCCTGTTACCGCGGCCCGGTCGGGCCGCTGATACCGCTCCGTCGGAGCCGAACATTCCGCGACGGTATCGCTCGAAAGCCGGAAGTGGAATCCTCTGAGCTACACCCCCGTTATGTCAGGAGCACTTATGTATGCTATTGATGGTGCTCAAGAAATTATTTTAACAAAAAATAATTATTACTCGAAATAAAAAAAATCATCTCGTCATTGCAACGCGACAAATTTTTTGTCAACAAAGATAGAAACACATTTCTATCATAAAGGAAAGGGCACCGATGTTTTAGTAGACTATCTTGTCGCATTTCATGGTGCCGTAGTAGTACAACGCGCAAAAAAAAAATAGCGCAAAAGTTCAAATTGATTGATTTGTGGGGTTTCACGTCCCAAAACCACTATATGATTATGAGAGACGCCGTAGTGGAGGGCTCCGGAAATTTCGACCACCTTGGGTTCTTTAACGTGCACCCAAATCTGAGCACACGGGCCTACAACATTTCCGCCTCCATCGGAAATGCAGCCGCCGCAGCCGGGAAACGAACCCGCGACCTGCGGGTCAGCAGCCGAGTACCTTAGCCACTAGACCACCGCGGAGGGGCCGCAAAAGTTCATAGAGCTCTGGAGGCGCCACGGGTTCGAACCAGGGACTTCTCACATGCGAAGCAAGCGCTCTACCTCTGAGCTACACCCCTGTTATGTCAGGCAGCACTTATTTATGCTATTGATGGTGCTACAAAGATTATTTTAACAACAAAATAAATTATTACTCGAAATAAACAAAATCATCTCGTCATTGCAACGCTGATACAATTTTTTGTCAACAAAGATAGAAACATACTTCTATCATAATGGAAAGGGCACCGATGTTTTAGTAGATTATCGCGTCGCATTTCATGGTGCCGTAGTATTACAACACATAAAAAAGGTAGCGCTAAAGTGAAGAGCACTTTGGAGGTGCCAGGGTTCGAACCCGGGACTTCTCACTTGCGAAGCAAGCGCTCTACCTCTGAGCTACACCCCTTTTTTTTCTTTATTGCCTGTCTTCGGCTCACGTAAACAATACACATACTAACAGATAACTACACAACACAATCCAAAACATTGTAAAAACCGTGGCTCTAATGATGTGGCCACGCATCTGTTAAAATATTTTTATCGTCGATAGTAATTCGACGCGCGGCAACCATTCTGGGGTGAATTCCTGCAACTTTTGTTCATCCACAAAATTTCTTATATACTCTTTGAAGTACTCGGTGGGCGCTCGTGCATCTACATCAAAGTGCATGGCTGCCATCCTGGATTTCCAAATGGTATGAAGAGCCATAAGCATTATCATATCATATGGGGTACCATCGTCACTTTGTATTTGCAAGTAGCGGATGCCATATGCATCAATGGGGAAGTCTTTTTTGATCGTGCGCTGGAGCACGTCCCAAAGAAAGATAGCATCCCAGCAGTCAATGAATACTTGCTCAATTGTCTCCTCCTTTCTGCATATTATGCAATGCGTGCCCCAAGGAACGTAAAACCCCTTTGCAGCCATCCAGGTTTTGACGGTCAGCGTACCGGTATGTAATGAAAAAAAAAATTCTTAGCACTTGGCGATATTTTCATCGCTCTGACGCGCTTTAGTACAGTGTGGCCATGGCATACATTGTAAAGGGATCGATACAAAGGCACTGGTAAAAACACATCACATAGGTCCTTGTACAACTTTCTACGTCGGACTTGACCCAAGTATTCAAGTGAAAACCGCACTGACAGAAACCTACGAGAAAGTACAACTTCGCGGAGAAAGCCATAAACACCACCAAGTACGCTGCAGGTTGATACAACCAAGTTAGGCAAGTGTTGCCCCAGGCGAAGTTGACAGACAGTGCGAAGGAATGGGTTGTCGACGTCTCTAAAGAAACAAAATCGATTTACTACCTGTCTTAAAAACAAATGCGACAAGCCAAGTCCTCCATTTCGCACTCGGAGAAATAAATTGGTCCGACTTGATCTTTCCCAAGACGATTCCCACACAAAGACAGCGAACACACGGTGAAATTTTTGGATGTTTACCCTTGAACAATGTAAGACTTGTAAGATATACCAAATTCTACTCACTAAGAATATGTTGCAAATTGTGGCTTTAGAAAACATAGACCAATTCCAGCCATTCCACTTGTTCACTCTTTCCCGCAGGTTATCCACTTGGCTCCTCCAGTACGAGTCGCTGTCTTTGTAGCATTCGAGGGGGGCACCCAAGTATTTCACCGGTGTCGTAACAAACCTTATGCTGGCAAAACTGTCTGGGGTTTCTGCCCAGTCACCGTGCCAAAAGCCAAGGCATTTTCCCCAGTTTACAGCGCTGCCACTTGCAGCACAGAAGTTAGTAACGCATTTGACAGCATTTGCTATGCTGTCAGAGTCCGCGCAAAAATGGCAATATCGTCCGCATAAGCCAACAGTCGGACTTCAACCTCGTGCAGCTTAAAACCACGGACACAGTCATTCTCTATGACACTCAAACAAAATGACTCTATGTACAAACAAAACAATAGTGGTGAGAGAGGACAACCTGACGGACCTGAACGCTTGACTGGGATGCGCTTCCCCACCACCTTGTTAACGATTAGCCGCGTTGAGCAGTCTCGGTACGCCATGACAACCCCCTCTTTGATTATTTTCCCTAAATTCACATAATCTAGGATGCACAGCAGAATTTCATGAGGCACCCTGTCAAAAGCCTTCTCGAGGTCGATTTGCAGCATTGCGACTCGCGCACCAATAGCGTCGCAACATTCGAGGATGCTCCGGGCTGCGTGTATATTAGTGAGGATAGTTCGACCTTTAATGCCGCACGTCTGATGCGGCCCCACGAGCTCCGTAATGACTGTTTGCAACCTTTTAGCTAGGATTTTCATGAATATCTTGTAATCTCCATTAGTGAGGCAGATTGGGCGGTAAGAATTTACTTTGCGCAGTGCAACGGGGTCTTCCGATTTTGGTATAAGAACAGTGTGAGATGATGAAAAGGACGGGGGTAATATTTTCAGCTCGAATGCCTCATTATAAACGTCGGCTAAGACTGGTGTTATTTCAAATTTGAAACACTTATGAAAGGCGGAAGTCAGACCATCAGGGCCAGGCGATTTCCCGGGATGCATACTTTCAATAACACTGTTAACTTCCTCTTCCGAAATGGGTTCCTCCAATAATTCTTTTGCATTATTGTCAAGCTTCGGCATCAGCGGTAAAAAATCTATTTTAAAACGATCGACATCAACTGAGCTGGCGGCGAATAAACCATTGAAGTGCTCAAAGAAAGCACGCTCGATAACATCTGCGACATCGCTGACTTCACCCTCGTGTTCAATTTCTGTTATCTGATTACGACGCGCATGCCAGTTTTCTGAGCCCAACGCCCTTTTTGACGGTGCTTCTGCCGTTATCAGTCGCTCGGCTCTTGCCCGAACCATAGCACCGCGGTATCTTTCGACATCTAACCGCTCAATTTTACTTTTCGATGCGCGAATATGTTCAAGAAACATGCCGGGCATTCTACATTCTTCGAGGAGCAATTTTTCCAGGTTTCTGCGCATGAGCTTTTCTTCTGCTCCTATTTTTCTGCTTATAGCGCTCGAGCGTTCCAAAGCCTTCAATTTAACGACCTGCTTGAAGTTCTCCCATTTTTCTCTAAACGTCTTTTTACTGCGAACTTTCATTTTTTCAACTTCCGTCATTACTTCCTCCATAAATTTTTCATCACTCAGCAGATTCGAATTCAATTTCCATAGTTGCCACTCGAAGGCCCTTTTCGTTTCTTTCGTGCTAGCTACTACAAAGCTAACCAAGCAGTGGTCACTAAATGAAACAGGCGTTAACACGGTATGCCTTGCAAAGCGGTACCAATTCTACACTCACGTACGCCCTATCTAGTCGGGCATGGCTGGCTGCCTGAAAGTGGGTGTACTGCATAGTCCGGCCACCACCGAGACATTCAGCCACATCCTCCAAACCATGTTCTCTTACTGTATCGCTTAAGACAGCCGTACTTGCATCCCTGTAATGTCGTTCGCTAGTTTTGTCTTTGGCTGAAAGGACGCAGTTGAAATCGCCAATAATGATTAGGAGCCTATTACATTTGGTATACTGCTTTAGTTGTTCGAAAAATATGCGTCTTTCGTCAGTGACAGTCGGTGCGTACAAGCATATTACGCGCCATTCCAATCCCGAAAACAAAAGATCACAAACAATGAGCCGACCAGACGGACATGACGTTGAGGCTTCTACTTTAGCACCCAGACTCTGTCTGACGAACAAAACGCAACCAGAAGAAGTCCCTATGGCATGGCTAACTATAACAGAATACCGCGGCAAGAATTGGCGCACCATGCCCCCAGTTTCATCGTCGCCATGAACTTTAGTCTCTTGGACTGCCAGTATGTCAAGGTCGAGGTCACTTACTAGCCGATAAAGCTGACATTGTTTTCTCCGTGAGGCCAGGCCACGCACATTTAAAGTGGCCACACGGATTGAATTTTCTATTTGCACCATTGTAAGGCTAGGAAAAACCCAGGGGCATGGCGCTTACCTTACAACTGCAATTCTTTCCTGAACGCCTTGTCCCAGTACAGTCGTTAAGTTGGCGAAGGCAGTGTTTCCGCCGTCTTGCGCTCCGACGAAATGTTTGGCCGTGGCCGGATGAGAGGCCGCCGAGCGGGAGTCGTTTTGGCGGGTGGTTCGTCCGGCGAGGCAGCAGTGGTGCCCTTGTCTTTTTTCCCTTCGTCACGGGGACGCTTCCCCGTCACAGTGCCACTGTCGCTTTCAATCCCAGTCATCGGTTCAGCCTCGGAGGGGGTCTCGTCTGCTGAGCCAAGACACGTGTCGCCGGTGCTGCTTGCATCCACCTTTTCACTACTTTCGCCTACGCCTTCGTATGGAAGCCCGGCGTCGGGCTTACCTGGTGCTTCACACACGCCCTCTTCTTGACGGCATGACGACCCATCTTCCACAGCAGAGTTTGGGTTAACTCCTGCTGTATTCTTCCGAGTCTGCTTCGTCCATGAGGTGCTCCAGTGCATCACTTTCCTGCGCTGGTCCGGTCACACTGGCATATGTCTTCGCGCAGTCGGCGTCTTCGTGGCCGAAGCGGCGACAACGACTGCAGCGGGGTACTCGGCAGTCGCGACGTATGTGACCGGTACTCTTGCACCGTAGGCACAACGGTGCACGGCCTGGAACGACAACGAGAGTCAGCTCTCCGGCAATCTTGAGCTGGTGCGGAATGTCATCCACCTTGACGTCGGAGTGCAGCTTTAGTCCCACAGACCGCGTCGTTGAGCCCTTTTCTGTGATGCCCGGTGCTCGCCACTTCTCCCGTTTCACTTCGAACACTTTCCCATAGGGAGTCAAGGCAACACGCACGTCTTCGTCGGTCACGCCGTGCAGCAACCAGTGAAGCTTCAAGCGAACCTCGCGGTTATTTGGGTCAATGAGCAAACATGGGCGATCCTTTACCTTCACATCGATGGCGGAGAGCAACTTCCGAGCAGCCTCAGCACTCGTCAGTGTCACAGCCCATACGTGGTTCATTTGATACGCCCCCAACGCCAAAACGTCGTCGAGCGCACCAAGCTTGGCCAAAGTGTCCCGGTAATCTTCGACGCGGTAAGGCCGGGCTCTCGGATCACCATGCATGAAAACGGTATTCGCAGCGATGCGTCCGGAAGGCAGATTGGGCAGAATCACCTGATAATCGTCGGCGCTAGGCGCAAAAACCCTGTTACCGCGGCCCGGTCGGGCCGCTGATACCGCTCCGTCGGAGCCGGAACATTCCGCGACCGTATCGCTCGAAAGCCGGAAGTGAAATTGATCTGAGCTACACCCCCGTTATTTCAGGAGCACTTATGTATGCTATTGATGGTGCTCAAGAAATTATTTTAACAAAAAAATAAATTATTACTCGAAATAAACAAAATCATCTCGTCATTGCAACGCGATAAATTTTTTGTCAACAAAGATAGAAACACATTTCTATCATATAGGAAAGGGCACCGATGTTTTAGTAGATTATCTCGTCGCATTTCATGGTGCCGTAGTAGTACAACACAAAAAAGATAGCGCAAAAGTTCAAATTGATTGATTTGTGGGGTTTCACGTCCCAAAACCACCATATGATTATGAGAGACGCCGTAGTGGAGGGCTCCGGAAATTTCGACCACCTGGGGTTCTTTAACGTGCACCCAAATCTGAGCACACGGGCCTACAACATTTCCGCCTCCATCGGAAATGCAGCCGCCGCAGCCGGGAAACGAACCCGCGACCTGCGGGTCAGCAGCCGAGTACCTTAGCCACTAGACCACCGCGGAGGGGCCGCAAAAGTTCAGAGAGCTCTGGAGGCGCCACGGTTCGAACCAGGGACTTCTCACATGCGAAGCAAGCGCTCTACCTCTGAGCTGCACCCCTGTTATGTCAGGAGCACTTATTTATGCGTTTGATGGTGCTCAACAGATTATTTTAACAACAAAATAAATTATTACTCGAAATAAACAAAATCATCTCGTCATTGCAACGTGATACAATTTTTTTGTCAACAAAGAAAGAAACATATTTCTATCATAAAAGAAAAGGGCAGCAATGTTTTAGTAGAATCACTCGTCGCATTTCAAGGTGCCGGAGTATTACAACACACAAAAGAGCGCTAAAGTCGAGAGCACTTTGGAGGCTCCGGGGTTCGAACCCGGGATTCTCACATGCGAAGCAAGCGCTCTACCTCTGAGCTACACCCCCGTTATGTCAGGAGCCCTTATGTATGCTATTGATGGTGCTCAAGAAATATTTTAACAAAAAATAATTATTACTCGAAATAAACAAAATCATCTCGTCATTGCAACGCGATAAATTTTTTGTCAACAAAGATAGAAACACATTTCTATCATAAAGGAAAGGGCACCGATGTTTTAGTAGATTATCTCGTCGCATTTCATGGTGCCGTAGTAGTACAACACAAAAAAGATAGCGCAAAAGTTCAAATTGATTGATTTGTGGGGTTTCACGTCCCAAAACCACCATATGATTATGAGAGACGCCGTAGTGGAGGGCTCCGGAAATTTCGACCACCTGGGGTTCTTTAACGTGCACCCAAATCTGAGCACACGGGCCTACAACATTTCCGCCTCCATCGGAAATGCAGCCGCCGCAGCCGGGAAACGAACCCGCGACCTGCGGGTCAGCAGCCGAGTACCTTAGCCACTAGACCACCGCGGAGGGGCCGCAAAAGTTCAGAGAGCTCTGGAGGCGCCACGGTTCGAACCAGGGACTTCTCACATGCGAAGCAAGCGCTCTACCTCTGAGCTGCACCCCTGTTATGTCAGGAGCACTTATTTATGCGTTTGATGGTGCTCAACAGATTATTTTAACAACAAAATAAATTATTACTCGAAATAAACAAAATCATCTCGTCATTGCAACGTGATACAATTTTTTGTCAACAAAGAAAGAAACATATTTCTATCATAAAAGAAAAGGGCAGCAATGTTTTAGTAGATTCTCTCGTCGCATTTCATGGTGCCGTAGTATTACAACACATAAAAAAGATAGCGCTAAGTCGAGAGCACTTGGGAGGTGCCGGGGTTCGAACCCGGGACCTTCTCACAATGCGAAGCAAGCGCTCTATTCTGAGCTACACACCCTTATGTCAGGAGCACTTATGTAATGCTATTGATGGTGCTCAAGAAATTATTTTAACAAAATATATTATTACTCGAAATAAACAAATCTTGTCGTCATTGGAACCGATAAATTTTTTGTCAACAAGATAGAAACACACTTCTATCATAAAGGAAAGGGCACCGATGTTTTAGTAGACTATCTCGTCGCATTTCATGGTGCCGTAGTAGTACAAACAAAAAAGATAGCGCAAAAGTTCAAAATTGATTGATTTGTTGGGTTTCACGTCCCAAAACCACCATATATTATCAGAGACGCCGTATGGAGGGCTCCGGAAATTCGACCACCTGGGGGTTGTTTAACGTGCACGCAATCTGAGCACACGGGCCGACAACATTTCCGCCTCCATCGGAAATGCAGCCGCCCGCAGCCGGAAACGATCCCGCGACCTGCGGGTCAGCAGCCGAGTACCTTAGCCACTAGACCACCACGGAGGGGCCGCAAAAGTTCAGAGAGCTCTGGAGGCGCCACGGTTTGAACCAGGGACCTTCGTCACATGCGAAGCAAGCGCTCTACCTCTGAGCTGCACACCCTGTTCTGTCAGGAGCACTTGTTTATGTGTTGATTGTGCTCAACAGATTATTTTAACAACAAAATAAATTATTACTCAAAATAAACCAATCATCTCGTCATTGCAACGTGGATACAATTGTTTGTGAACAAAGAAAGAAACATATTTCTATCATAAAAGAAAAGGGCAGCAATGTTTTAGTAAAATCACACGTCGCATTTCATGGGTGCCGTATTATTACACACATAAAAAAGATAGCGCTAAGAGTCGAGAGCACTTTGGAGGTGCCGGGGTTCGAACCCGGGACTTCTCCATACGAAGCAAGCGCTCCACCTCTGAGCTACACCCCGTTTATGTCGGAGCACTTATGTATGCTATTGATGGTGCTCAGAAATTATTTTAACAAAAAATTAATTATTACTCGAAATAAACAAAATCATCTCGTCATTGCAACGCGATAAATTTTTTGTCAACAAAGATAGTGCCACGTTCCATTTCACAAGTTTTTGTTATCGTTCCGAAACACCACACGATTCTCGGCGCAAACCGCGCCTGCAGGTTCGAGAAGGTTCCGGACTGTATAGATCATTTTGATAAGATCACGCCCACTGTGCGAACAGTACAGATTGTTCTGGAACCTACGCCACCGCCAGCGATAACGCTAGAACATTCGACGGCAAGGGTATAAATGCCGACGCGCTTCGCCGCTTGTCAGTTGTTGATCGAAGGCCGACGCTGCGTTCGCCGCTATCAGTCCGAGACTGCTATCTGTGCAAGACTGCTGCTGTAATTAGACTTTCCGTTTACCGGGCACAGGTTCGCCCAAATAAACAGTTAAATCCCAACGCGTAGTTTCCTCTCTTTGGCCACGTCACGACCCCGTGAAATCTGGTGGAGGTGCTGCTTCGTTCATGTACCGGACGCCCCCGTCAAGCCGTGAACCCAGCCCCCGTCGCGGAGAAGACACCGACGCCAACCAAGAGCAGCGAACGAGCCGCCGACATCAAGGTCTCCCACTGGAGTACGGCCTTCTACAAGACAAGGCGCGGAAGACCAAGACCATGACTTCGACTGCAGCGAGAATGACAACCGGAGCGTCCCAGCCCGCGATCGTCATTCATCAACCCAGGGAACCACCAACGTTCCATGGCTCATCGTTTGAAGAACCGGAAACCTGGCTAGAAACATACGACCGTGTGGCCGCCCTCAACCACTGGGACAACGAAGAAAAGCTCCGTCGTGTGTACTTCTACCTGGAAGACACCGCAAGGACCTGGCTAGAGAATCGGGAGTCCACGCTCCGAACGTGGGATGTCTTCTTCGGCGCATTTCTGCAAACGTTCGCAAGCGTCGCTCGCAAAGAGAGGGCCGCTGCTCTACTCGAGACCCGGGTTCAACTACCAAATGAAAAGGTTGGAATTTTCACAGAGGAGATGACCGGCCTATTCCGTCACGCTGACCCAGACATGCCTAAGGAAAAGAAAGTTCGTTTCCTCATGCGAAGAGTCAAACAGGGGCTCTTCGCGGGACTAATGAGGAATCCACCAAACACCGTCCAAGAATTTGTATCCGAGGCGACCACCATCGAAAAAACGCTGGACATGCGCACCAGACAGTATAATCGTCGCCTGACTCCAGAATGCGCTGCTGCTCAAAGCAGTGACTCCGACGACCTGCGTGAAACGATCCGAGCGATCGTGCGGGAAGAGCTGCGCAAACTGTTGCCTTCGGCGCAGCCTCAAGTGGATTCGATCGCCGACATTGTGCGAGAAGAAGTCCGGCAATCGCTTCGAATTCCCGAAACACCGCCGCCCGAGCCGGAAACTATGAGCTACGCCGCTGCAGTGCGCCACAACGCTCCTCCCCGTCCACGCCAAAACGCCGCCCCGTCACACTTCCGTCGCCAGATGCCACCGCCGCCACCACCCCAACCGATGTCCTACCGTTTCCCAGCGGGCCAGCGCAGTGCACCGAGGAAAACGGACGTTTGGCGTGCACATGACAACCGCCCGCTCTGCTACCACTGCGGCGAGGCCGGGCACACATACCGCCGTTGCCAGTACCGACAGATGGGACTGCGTGGCTTCGCCGTCAATGCACCGCGTCCGCAGCCAGGAGATCGGCCACGTGACATCGCCGACTACCTGGCAGGAACCCAATGGACACCACGAAGTCCTTCCCGTTCGCCGTCGCCCAGCCGCCGCATGTCACCGCACCCCCGGCAGTACTCTGGCCCAACGCGGGGCCGGTCTCCTAGCCCGTATCCGGGAAACTAAGGGCAGCAACCGATGGAGGTGCGGTTGCTGTGCGACGAACTACCGAAGATCCTCTGACGACGACGCCGACGCGACGGAGCTTTTTGAACGCAACACCAACCAGGCAAAGCCCTGAAGGCAAAAGCTCACTTACCGAAGGTGGCCGGACGACGCAACATGGAAGCAGCGGAACAAGCCGACGCAGCCGTGACCCGACGCCACGCCCTAACTGCAATGCGAGACGGCGAACTAGCGACCTCG